TACATTTCACCAAACAATTTTATTTAATGTTTTAACATATTTATTTTTCGCTCTTATAAATTTGATGCGTATTTTTGATTTTAAGAATTCTTGTTGTAAGAAATTGTGTTTTGATTTTCAATAAAATTAAAGTTACTTGAGGAAGCGCGTGTTGTAAAAAAAACACAATACACGCGTATTCAGTCAATCTGTATTGTCTACTCCCTTCTAACTCTCCCTTTACCTAACCTTCCTACTAACTCTCCCTTCAACAATCGGTTTAAACAGATGGTAGTGGTGGGGGAACGTCAGGCGAAGAAATACCCGTCAGAACCATGTTGCCAGCTCCTACAGGATGTTCGCTACAGAAAAAAAACGCGCTGTTGTAAAATTTGCAGTGATAGATTTGCATTAATGTGTTAAACATTGACACTATTTTTATCAATCTTTGGAAGACCCTGATATGATTTTCTATTTTTGACTTAATGTTTTGTTTGTCTGGACCTCACATTCTGGTGTTGGCCAACATTTCAATATATTTCTAATGTTTCATCACGGTCATTGTCGAAGACCAATAATGCTCATCAGTATGCGAAAAGTATTTCGAACTAAAATTTCATTCAACGTTCTAGGGCGTTTGAGCAGTCCTTTGCTGACTGACCCTGCCGACTATGATCATTGTGGCACCAATTTAAACTACTCGGCTGGCATTCGTGATTCCATTTTGATTTGGGACATCTTGTTTGCGGTATCTCTTTTGTGAACTTGGCATTTTCTCCTGGATATCCTACAACCATTGACATTATATATGGTACAAGTGTATATTGTGGAAAATTGTACCTTTTTGAACAATGAAACTACTCACATTTTCAATTTAGTGAAACCGATAGTTTGCATACTTCAGTGTATATTTTGCCTAATTTTTGCGATGGGGAGATCGTTTTGTTGTTGCTCGTTCTTTTCCGTTGATTTTTTCTTTAAAGCTGCCATCTCAGTGGTTGGGTCCGGTTTACTTCTGTAATGGCAGTAAATATTTTACCCACATTCCCTGACTTGGCACCTTTTCGTATCTCTTCTCTTTCAGCTGGTAGATATTTTTCTGTCACTTGTTGACTCAAGAGACACATTAAACATTATAAGAAGAAAGTAATGTGGCTAGTTTTGTTGACTAACGTTTCCACCCTTTTCCGGGCAGTCTCTGTGGATCCATTTCTATCCCATTTGAGATTCCCAGAAAATTTCTTCAGCGGCCGTAATCGTCGGTGCGGAGATCTCTTGCTCCAAAGGAAGAACTACTGAAGAAAATTCCTAAGATTTACCAGCTGAGTTAAGCTGACAGTAATTTCCCTGATTCTGCAGTGACTCTGTCTGGGAGGTCATAGGGTTCTAGTTTTGACGCTGGCGGTTTTTCGATACGTAGATAACTAGGTCTAATTCAGCAACTTTCTGGATGAGGATTCTAACGGCTGGGTTTTCTGAACAGTAGTTTTTCGCTCAATACCAGACGAATGCCGGAATGCAGTAACCTAAAACACAGGTTATACATGTATCCTTTCTCGTTGTTCTCTTCTCTCCCCTCATACATGTAACCCCTATCAGACATGTAGGGAGTTCAGTCGGAGGTTTCTTGGTTCTCCCGTCTGGGGGGGTGCCCTTATGGGAGAGATATCTGTAGAGGGAAATCCCTTGCAAAGCACCCTTCAAGTCAACATCGCATCTCACAATTCAGTAGTGATAACATATGACAAATACGTATTCCAAAAAACTAAAAAAAAAACATACTTGTACTGTATCCCGGGATTTGCAGTAATTTGATGTCGTTTTTACGGATACAAAACCTGTTTGAGACCTAGAAATTGATGATCATGAATCTATCTAAAGCAATACATAATCTCTATTGCGATGTAAATGGAAATAAATGCAGTAGAGTTGACTGGTACCGAGTTCGTATTCAAAATCTAATTCATGAATACAGTACTTCTTATTGAAACCGTAAAACGCATAGATTTGTTGCTGTCTTAAACAATATTATGTGAGTATGAAAGTAGTAGCTTAACATTACGGCAGCATTATCACAATTTCATTTGAGATCATTGCTTAAGCGAACAGAATGTACGAATGCTTGTTCATTTACTTCAAATCATTTTCAATGTATTATACTTTATTTTGAAAAGATTTATTTTAATTCACAGAACAATCGCGACATTGTTTGTAAGAAAGTTGTCTTAAAATATTTATTAGCAGGACACATTGCGTACAATACATTAATTTTACATAAAATACATATAATATTACTTTCATTATTAAAGTACAACAAACAAAATGAATAATAAATAATCATATGAATGGGGCTTAAAAATCTTTCTCCAAAGCCCTGAAAATTATTAAAATGTCAAATAAAAATGTATATAGTCAACATTTCAATGAAAAAAGTTCACCTCTACTGAATATCCATTTTTATGCATACTTATTCTTCTTGCAAACTACCTATTTCTGTCAATCTATCTCAACTCATATTGGTCTACTTCTTTATTTAATATCTTTCAAATACGCCTCTTAATCAAAATACTCTTTAAGATACTCGCTTACTTAGCCTCAGGATTTTTCTTGGTTCTCTTGAGCGCCATTGTGTTTCTTTTTGCACATATTTCTTAGTCCTTTCCTGATCCGTTCTCGTGATCTGATGCAACACTCTCTCAATCGTGATGCAGCATTTCGATCACACCAACTGGCTTCGGTTATATCTTTTTCATCCGGATCAAATTGCGAAGAAGCCATTACAGCCTCCCTCCATTGAACCTCCTTTTCCAATGTCTAAAAAACAAGGAAACGTAGTTAAAAATTCGTTGTTTGTGTATTCAAGATAAATTACGTCCAGACATGTAAGAAAGTATAGTTACGCAACTTAATTGCGTGTCATGTTCATAAGGCACACCGTAACATCGTAATGTGCAACTGCAATAACGGGGTGTTCCGTTGGGTATCGGTCCTCATAGCAAGTCAGGACGGTCTGTCGCGACCAGCGTTTTCCTGTTTACATTGCATGTAAAAGGATGGAATTGCAAAGTGATGCGAATATGCGTAATATCGCGTCTATGTTCTGTAGCGTGTACGACGACCGAGTCTCGAACTTGTCCTATTGGGGTATTCTGTCACGATGATGAGCATCACGTTGGTGTTGCATTACAATACATCGTTACAGTCTAGACCCAACGATACGACTGAACTCACTGGATACAACAATGCTATAATGTTTGTTAACGCACTCATACGGATACCAGATGATGCTTCATTATAGCATTAGTGCTCTAATGGATTCTTTATGGACACATTTTTCCGCCCTAAACGCAAAACGAAGTACTTTCCTAACTATCGGGTCACGGACCGTGCGCTATCTTTCCTTTTCCTTCCTTGTCCTATCTCCATGCCTTGGTTACACACCTTCACATGCCCTACACAACCACATAAGTCGGGAGACAAGCCGAGAGCTTTGAGCTTGTCTGCCTGCGGCGGTACCCCGCTGGTGGAAGATACCTGATAGGGAAAATTCCGCTAGTCGACGTGTAGATCAGCGCCAGATCTCGCCATTCAGCAGGGGAACATGGCCGCCATTTCTCGGAATATAAACATGTACAACCAATTCGAGGTTAATGATCTTAGCATATGCTGCGTTCGGAAACACTGATCATTGAGTAAATATAAGGATCATCTGAACTTGGTTTCTTTTGACCGTGTAATTCGTTAGTAACGAGATCAATAGATTAAGGATGTCTCCTTACACACGACGCTAAAACTCCCTAATACCACGTCGCTTCGAAAAAAGTTTAAGAAACTCTTATAGAAATAAGTACATCAGCAGTGAAGAGTGTGGACATCGCTAAGTCATAATGTTTCATCTGCCTTCTTCGTCTTTCCGAGCAGTACGTCTTCCTTTGTCTCCTGAAGGAGCTTAGCGGACACAACCGAAGTCCTTCTGCCTAATGGTGCGGTCCGGCCCGCGAGCGTTAACAGTTCATTGTTGCAGGCCCTTGAGAAGTGACGTAATTTGTTAAGTATTATCAAAGGGTGAGGTGGAGAAATAGGACATAGAATCGTCTTCAAAGAAGAAAATATTTGATGTTATGCTGGTTTCTTTACAGAGATAACCCCCTAGTTATATTTTTTTGCGAGAGAGGAGATATATTTAGAGCCGTCCATGAACATTTAACTGAATTAGAATGTACGAGTAATATCAAGAACTTGCATTTTATATATTTTTTAATATTTTCTTTAATTACAGAGCTATATTTCCTAATATTTTCGTCTGAAAATTGCTATGGGAAGAAATTTACTTTAAATGACACTTTATTGAAAACTGTAAATAATTTGAAATTAACAATATGTCCCATGAGTGAATTAAACGTAATACTACTACAGATAATTAATATCAAAAACCTAGTCATATTGGACAATTTCTGTAATTTTCTTGAATACAAACTATATTGGTTCATAATATTTCTGTTATTTAGAGTATGCGAAACCATGTTCAGGTTTTATATTGGTTAAAAACTGTATGCCTTATTGTGAGGAAGGTATTCGAAATTAGATACCAATTGAGAAATATTCTTTCTCAGTAATTTCATATAAGCTTCACCATAGACTTACTTCATTATAATAGTTCTATCAATTAATCTCTTTATTACTACAAAGCTTCTATTTCTACTTTGTCATTTATCCAAGGTTTAAGCATTTGGTCCTCGAAGCAGTGGCAAGTATTCTTTTGTTATTACTGCCCGCATGTAATCGTGAGAAAAGGTTTCGTCTCCTTAATCCCCTGTTTTTAGACAACTAACAGCAGTGTTTATTAGCTTTTGCCTGTATCACTGCGCGATACCGTGATCATGAAAAGAATATGAGTTCTTAAGCTGATACAATGTTACTTCTTGATTCGAGGAGCCATCCACAGTCTCAACGGAGCTCACCACCGTCGTTTTGGAGACTGCGCCACGTCTCGTGCTGACGGGCGCTTCCTTGTGTTGCAGATACGCCGTCGTTCGCCATCAGCCGCGAGCCCGGCTTCGGCTTCCCGCTGGTGGAGGGCATCCCCGTCTCCCTCAAGTGTGAGGTGGACGCAAACCCCCCCTCCGCGCCCCTGTGGCTCAAGGGTAAGTGAATTTACAAATCACTCATTTCTCTTTTCAGCCCATACGAAGGTGCTTCGTAAGAAGGGAAAGTTATGTATTCGTGCGCCGGAAAACGGTGAATTTCGGCAGAAACACTCTTATTACAGGATGCTAGTAACGAAAAAGTGGATAAATCCTCTTGCTAAATATATAAAAGTTTTCTAGCACGGATATAACCAGAATCTATGTCCCTGATGCCGAAAAATCGATGGACGGCAAAACGTCTGTCTGTCGGAGGTCAACGCTAGTTACTAATCCGTTTAGCCGATTTTCCCCAATCGATCCGAATGAACTCGAGGCTTTGGGAATTTTTAAAAGGATATCTTGATTTTTGAAGGTACTTACATGAGCCTCAAAAACATTTTCAAAACTTTCTCAAAAATGGCACCAAATTTTTTGTTAAAACTTTGTCTTCGGATAGCGTAAAGGACGATTAAGAGAATGATGCTTGTCTTGTGTTTGTTGAAATTCCAGTGTTTTAGTAATTGCAAAAGTTCAATTTTTTGGGGCTTCTTCCTACAACTATAATATTGAAGATAGATTTTTTCCTCAGTGAAATCTGTTCCTAAATAAATTCGTGCTACATTTTTCGAAAATATGTGAAATTTTGCTGTAATTTGGCGTGAAATGAAAGCAATATAAAAAAATACATTTTTTCCATTTTTCTTCTTTCAATTTTTCGACGCATACTTAAAATAAGGGATGCTTAAAATAATGGTGTGGACCTCATTTTCATTAACACTGTTAGTTTTCGAAAACTGAAAATTTAGAAATAATGCAAGAAAGTATTTGATGTTATTGTACCATTAGTTTTACAAATAAATCTCTATTATAAAAGTTTTATCAACTTACAATGATTAGTTAATATATTGATAAGTTAATAATTTCAGAGTTAATAGACAAATTGATTGCCTCCCAAGAAAAGAATACATTACTAAATTAATTTGTTTCCTGTGAATTTCTCTGACGATAACAGAAACATTTGTATCCCTGACATTGGTGGAACAACACACCGTTTGGGTCACCAAGTCCAAAAATTGTCCAAAACGTTACAAAACCAAGAAAAATTAAAATATATTTTCTTTATGAATATTTAATAAAATGTAAAACAAAATTGGAGTATATTTTAAACTGTAATGGTTATCATTCAGCTAATGCAATCCAGGCTGAGAGGAAATTTATCTACAGAATTAATGAACGTGGGAGATCTTGGAAGTTTCATCAGGGCGACTCTTCCTATGCCCGACACCTAATTCAACAAAATTACTTTTTTCGCCTTAACATAAATTTTAAAAAATTCATAGTAAGAAATACGGAAGACCCAATTTAAATATTTTAGAATTAACAAAATGATTGTTCAACCCGTATGTAATATCTGCAAATGAACAAACAACAATAATTTTTTTCTGAATCTCTTCACTTCCTCAACACTTAACCCTTGACTACCGAGTTATTTCAAAATGTTGGTTATCAGTATTCCTTTCTCAATACCCAATCTGTTCACAGTACCCAAGTAACTGGTACAATTAGTTATTCATCAATTATATTTGATTTTAAACTTATTTTAATTTAATATACTTAGTATCTAGTACGTGTACGTGTTTATATATAGCATTGCTGAAACCCCCCTGAAGATGGAGAAATTCTCCCCAAAATTAAATTGAAGATTCGATTTTATCATATAATAATTTAAAAAACTTTTTTATCATATTGTGCTTCAGATAATATCTGCAAATTTGTCTTTAATAGATTCAATACTATATTTCATATCAAATTCATTAGAAACTGTGAGTGCTCATGTAGCCCACTCGAAAAACCTATAAGAGATATAAAAGGTAGTCTTTCTCATTATTTATTATGCAATTAAAGGCTGTTTGTGGTTTAGAAAATGTTATTTACAACGATGCGCTGACCGCTGAATAGTGTTCTCATGCAAGTGGTATTACGAGCATCATAATGAAACGAGTGTTTACATGTATTCATTATTATGCTAGTACTGAACAAAACAAACGAAAGTTTTTTATTTTTCATAACAAATATATTCAGTTTTTAAAATGAAATAAAAAATGACTGGGGCTGTCGTAAATTAAATATTGAATGACAGTCGGTTTATATAACATCAAAATAAAATTCATGACACTTAAAAACTGCCACATGTTGCAAAAGCGATACTTGTTTTGTTCTGATTTCCATGCCAAACGTTTAATAACTGTTATTCAATATCACTTATCATTTATTCACTTCCCGATAACCATTATCAGTTACTTGAGCTAGAATGAGTGGTAAGGATTATTCCAACACAAACCTGTCAGTTCAAACATATCACATGGAAATATTTTTTAAATAAAAACTGAACGAAAGCAAAACTATATTTTACAATTGCTCATTACAAATTCACGTAATTATTGAAAACAGGTCAGAGCTCATTAACGACTAACTTTTGTGAACGCGCATGAAATATAATAAATACATCTGATCGGTTCTCATCTAAGAAGTAAAATGTCAAATGCAGCGAAATTCCGTGTAAAATATGTGTAGATATCCTATTAATTTACATCTCAGAACTTTAAAATCAATTTTTTTGAAATATTTAATTAAATCTAAAATGTATGTAAAATTGCATTTGCATAAAATTACGTTATATTTAATGGCATATTCTAAGAAATGTGATACGTGACAGAAAAAGATCAAGAAAAAGTAGCTTAAACGAGTCAGAGTACGAGACACATCGTCGGTCTTAAGCGGTTGACAGAAGATTACCGAGAAAGGGAAAGAGTTTCCGCCCCGCTTTCCCTTCGGTTGGAGGAGCTTCGTAAAACTAATTGCACGCACCATTTATTTAGCGTTTTGTCGCAAGTAAAAAGACCGCATCTCCTCGAGAAAACAATTAACTTTTAAGTCGCAGGCATTTGTTTAGCCTGGCCACAGGTTTGCAGGAAAGAAGAGGCGAAATTACCCTCCGTAATGACTCTTCAAGCGATCAAAGTTAAAAAAAACATGATATGCTTGAGTTCTCTCTCACGTGTTTTGCTGTGTTGTGTCAAATTGCATTAGCCATACATCGCGACTTGTGTGCGCATGGAGCTTGTGTGTCACAACCTTACGAATTCATTACACTCCTGGATAACTGGCACATTAGTTCTGGAATACTTTAAATTCTGCGTCACATACAATCAACAACTCCAATGCAATGCAATTTTATAAATAACTATTATTGAACTCCTAATCCGTAAAATCCAAATCAGTAATATCTCTATTTTAATCGTGCATCTCACCGGTGTCTAACTAAATAATTACTGTCAAATAATTCAAGGCGTAAATAACGATGTTATATTACCGAATAATACACTATGTATATATGTGGCATTTTAGGGTCCAATTAATCGTACTTTTGCCAGCTACCTGTGACCTCAGACTTCTGTCCTTTCTTTGCTTATTATTCACGCCTGGGGTTAAAGGAAAAACCGGTCGTACTTTCTTCACCATATCTAGCATACTTTTTCTTTACCTGCTTCAGATTGTTTTTGTCTCACAGCTATACAAACCGATTGCAATTTAAAACTACAGCTCTATTTTTGCCCCAACCGGGAACAGAAACCCTTTCCACGGAGACACATATGGCCAAGTCCTTATTCAAAATGACTTATTGTACATTAACATTCTATTCGTCTCAAAAATAGAACTCTTCTCAATAACATAGATACTTAAATAAGATAGCAATGTGTTTATGCGCGCATTTCTGTGAGAGAATGTCAGATATTCTACAAAGAGGCATGGAGAGCTATGAATGGCTAATGTGGCAAATAGCTTTGTAAAAGTATAATAAGACTTGAATGACGAAACTATCAATTGGCTTAAATAAGATTTCAATTATAAAATAATAACTCTTTACATCAAAGAAACTAGAAAAACACTGCGACTGTTCTTCCTCAACGGAAATACTACGTCACACTTGCGTTTCCCGACAAATAGTCGTTCGAAACAGTTGTCACATTCTTGAACGTCGCCCATGTTCTGTCACCGCCATCTCTCGTCTTCCTGTGCGTGCTCTCCCAAAACGGTTGACCACAATTTCTGGTCGATCTACAAGCGCCTGGTGGAATAGGGAAGCCAACCCGGGACACGTCTGTGTATTACGTTGCCATGGAGACTTGCTAGCTTCCCCCCAAAACATTTTCTAAAATTTCTTAAAAAGTTCTCAGAAGGTTTTTATTCATTTTAGTTCACAAATAGCGTAAATAACAATTTAAAAAATTGACATTGCAAAAGGGTAATAATTAAGAAAAACAATTTTTTAAAGAAAACAATGTTATCCTTAAACGAAATCTGGTATAAAAAATCAGTTCCTTATAAACGGTCAAGTACAAATTTTTATATTAAATTTGAGTAGTTTAGCGTAATTTGTGTTGTTTTGGAAACTACAGGTGCCAATTTCTCGCACAGGTAGCAATTTCTTTTGTTAGAATCTTTCAGGTGTTATCAGGTAGCAATACAACAACCGGGTCACTGTAGATTGGAATTCACAGAATAACTTATTATTAATGAATTTTACAAGAGGTGGCTGAGATCTTGAATTATGGTCAGGAATTGCAGTATTATAATTTTGTATAACTGTTACTGCTTAGAGAAATTACCACTAGCTGATGTAACACCACAAGTTTCTTTTTTTTCACACATCAAAAAGAGACGCTTAACAGAATGGCTCAGATCGCATTTTTGTAGAACTCTCTGAATTTACGAAAATTTCAAATGTTGGAAATAATGTGAAAAAGTTTATGTTGATGTAGTTCTAGTTGTTATTACTGCATAGCCAGAATTTAAAATATTTTTGGTTTTCGAGTGCTCTCGGGCTTCGAATATTTATACGCGTACGTGGATCTTAATCGATTAAAAAATATCCAAAAACGTGAAGCTTCATGTAAAGTTCTCACAATAACTAAAA